GTGAACGTTCACACAAAAAGATCGGATGTTTTCAAAAAAATCAGAACTGAGCATTAAGACCTGCAGTGTGAACGTAGCCCTTGATCTGGAGTTACTGTGAGGTAAGCTGTGCTCTTTTCATCAGAAGATTTGGTCCAATCAAAGAACTGAAGAAGGTTAACAGGTGACAGGATGTTAGGTAGGAGTTCTGAAGAGGGTGTCAACACTTTAAGCCAAGAAAACATCACGCAACAACAGATACAGAATAGGTAAAATTGGTACCCACCTCCTGTAACCAGGTGGGTTCAATTTATTTTTTATGTCTTCCTCTGGCTTCACCCCCTCTTCCTCTTACATAGTTTATGGACTTTTACGAAATTTACAGACTGAAGATGGACAGGGCATCCTGAGGCCAGTGGATAGAGGGCCTAAGACTCTGATGCTCATCAGGCTAAATGCCTGCATGCTGGGGAACAATAGAACTGTGACAGGAAAGAGAAAAGATTTAGACAGACTTGTAAAAGTGTGGGCACATTTCACTGCAGAGTTAAATGCAGCTTTTTTTCCTGTGACAGTAATGCTGCAGTGCATGAACATATGAAACACCTGCAGCTTGGAGCGATGATGCCAACTCTTAAAAAGTGAGTTTTAGTGAGGAAAGTTTGTGTTCAGCAAGTTGTTGTTGTGATTGTCAGTTATTTAACATAAGAAAAGTGCAGAGATCCACTGGAGCAAAGTGACCTGAGAAGGGTTGACTGTTTAAAAATGCTCACTTTCAATTTTTTGTTGAGTTCCAATATTTCAACGCACAGTTCACATTATAATTTAAAGTGGACTTCTATCAGACTGCAGTGCTAACAGTCCATGACCCTGAAGCTGAAGAAGACGTGATGTCACATGCAGTGTGCTGTGTTTGCAGAAGTAAATATGGATGCTACGTGTTAGCATGTGTGGATCAAGTATGAACTTTTGTCAGGCAAGATCGATCCGACCCCTACCTCTATGAAGTCTGATGAAATGAGACAACCGTTCAGATCGAGGTCGCTTTGAAAATCATCAGATCTTATTTATTATCACATATGAGAAAGACCTGGGTCAGATATTAAAATATCTGATTTCCAGAAGTAGGTGCACCTGGACCAGTTCTGGACCAGTTCTTCTGTGTTAACCTGTGTCTCTTTCCTGTCCCTCAATCAGCCGGTCGAGGCAGATGGCCGCCTGTCCTGAGCCTGGTTCTGCTGGAGCTTTCTTCCTGATTAGCAGTAGGGGTGTAAGAAAAATATCGATACACTGAAATATCGCAATATTTCATTTCCCGATACTGTACCGATATTCTAAGGCCC